GGTTGAAGATGAAGTCATTTTCAGGACATGACTTATGTTATGTATTTATTATTTCACTTATGTTAACGGATGTACAGCCACTCCAGTGGCAAAGATAGTGTGCGTGTATGGTAAGGGTCATGGGTTCAAGTCCCAGTGTTACCTTTTGTTTATTTTTTCACATTTTTCCTTCCTTTTTGTTACAAACAGCGCGCCTGGGCTTAGTCAGTGGGCCTTCCATTTTTTGTTGCACCATCCCCTCATTTTACTTATTCCAGCAGGCCTTTTTTTTATATTTTTCTTTTGCTGACAAATATATCATTGGGCTCAAACAAAAATTGTTTTTCTAATAAACCTCCTAAACTTCTTTTTCACCCCCTGACTTTTATATTTTATATTTTATTTTATTTTCTTTATTATTTTTTTATTACTATTATTATTATTATTATTATTATTATTATTATTATTATTATTATTATTATTATTATTATTATTATTATTATTATTATTATTACTATTATTATTATTATTATTATTATTATTATTTTTATTAAAAAATCCAAAAATATTTTTATTTATTCTTTTCACACTTATTTATTTATTTTCTTTATAAAGACAAAAGACAAAAAAAAAAAACATTATCTTAACAAATTTAATTTCTTTTTCTTAATAAATAATAATTAGATTTATGTTTGGTTATTTTTTTTTTCTTAATTAAAATTAACTTAGAACTTAAGTTTCTTTTAATTAATTAATTTTTATATTATTTTTATTAAGTTTAAACCCTTTTGTAAAAAATCCTAAAAATGCTTCAAATTTAATTTCTTTTCTTAATTAGTTTAGTTTTAATTTTTATTTAATTTTAATTAATCATTTTCTTAATTAGGTTAAAACTAAACCCTTTCATTAAAACCAAACAAAAATCACTTCCTTTCCATTTATTTTCTTGCACATTTATTCAATTCTTGTATATTATTCAATATGGTTGTAATAGATAATTAGGTTTAATTTTCTTGCAATCCCCATTTGTAAATTTGTATATCCCCTCCCCTAATGATGTAATAGTATAGTAATTTTACTTTTTGCAATTTATCGCTTTCATATAAATGATTAGTAATTAGGGTTTGTATGGTAAGACTAAAAATCAATAATTAGTAAACTCTAATCCAAGATAAACAATGCATGCAAATCAAACACTTGCACACTTGCACCTTTAGGATAATTCCACTTGTTGCCTTATAAAAATGGTCATGTTATGCATGTGGGATGTCTTAGCAAAAACAAATCAAAAATACAAGATCATAGTCCCTCGATGACGCTACTAATGTTGTCTTTCAAAATGATCTTAGTCCCTAAAAAAGAAATGCTAAGATATCTCACAATATTGTTATCATGACTATACGATGACCCACGCCCGTCCCTTTACATCCAAATATAAGGCTTCTTACCAAATCAATGGTAAGATAGCAATATCAAAGGAAGAAATGAACAAAGACTTTTGAGTAGGTAGATTGTTCCTAGTTGCTTGCTCCCTTTCAAAACGAACATCCTTGCTCATTTTCAAAACAAACACCAAACACTTTCAAAAATGCTTTCCAAACATGAAATATTTTCAAAAGTCCAACACTTTGTATACGTTCTTACGAACGAGAACTATTACAAAGTTTGCCTAAACAAAGACGCCTTTTCAAAATACTTGCAAAACCACCACAAAGCATATTTTCAAACAAAAGCAAGTGATCTAGCAAGTAACTAAGATCCCATAGATAACTATGGATGAAAAGGGTGCTAACACCTTTCCCTTTCATAATATATCCTCCGAACTCAAGAAAATATCTCAAAGGTCTTTCCTGTTCTTTTCCACCTTCCCTTTTGGATAAAAGAAAAGTCAGTGACGACTCTTGCTAACCGCAACAATTGTGATAAAATGCAAAAAACCCAAGTCAGTTCTCCCACCGTATTACAATACCCATAACTTTATGTAATAATCATCAACTATGCATAGAAAATACCTTGCTCCTGAATGTGATAGACACCTTGTATCCCCCCAAAGACCATTATGGATGTAATCAAAGGATTCATGTGTTCTTTGTTTTCCTTTATTAATATTCACTCTACAATATTTTTCAAATACACATGGTTCACAAAACTTCATCTTTTCGAATTTCTCTCCACCAAGTAGATTTTGTTTCCCTAGCTCGACCATACCTCTTTCACTGACATAGCCCAATCTCATCTGCCATATTTCACTCTTCGACAAAGGTTTTGTAGATGAAACATCCGCATAACCATTGACAACTTCATCCTCGAGGATATACAAGCTTTATTTCTTCATGCCTCCCAAGAATTCCTTAGACCCCTTCATGACTCTTAGGATACTTTTCTCTCCTTGGAAAACATATCCCTTCTTGTCAAATTCACCAAGAGAAATCAAATTTCTCTTTAAATCAAGTACACACCTGACTTCAGTCAACAACCTTATTGACTCATCATGGAGCTTGAATCTCACAGATCCAACACTTGCAATCTCTATTATTTCCTAGAAATACATATCCATCATCTCGATCACATAGTTCCTCGAGCAAGTCTTTGTTTGGACTCATGTGCCAAGTGCAACCTAAATCCATAATCCACTCTTTACTTGAGTCTTCACTTGAAACCACCAGAACATCAGATAAGTCCAAATCATCTTGAACAATGGTTGCGTTGCATTTATCCTTGCCTTCACGATGTTTCAGGCGTTCAGGGAACACTTTTCTTGTATGACCCTCTTTCTTACAATGATAACATCGAATACCAGATGCATCATCACTATAAGACTTATGTTGACTTTTACCTTTCTTCTTGTCAAACTTGCCATCTCTCTTTGTGAATTTTGTCTTAACCGACAAACCTTCACCAATCGAAGATGGCTTGTGCTCCTTTCGTTTGTTCAAATCCTTAGAATACAAGGTTGATTGAACTTCTTCAAAGGTCATATATTCTCTTCCATACAAGAGAATTTCTTTGAAGTGGGCGCGTGATCTGGACAAAGCACATAAAAGCAACAACACTTGATTTTCATCTTCGATCTTGACATCAATATTTTTAAGATCAAGAATCAGCTTGTTGAACATATCCAACTGCTCAGCCAGGACTTTGTCTTTACTCTTCTTGAATGAATATAAAGCTTGCTTCAGGTAGAGACGATTTACCAACGATTTTGTCATGTACAAGCTTTCGAGTTTTACCCATAAATTTGGGTTATCGTCTCTTTCGACACCTGTCAGAGAACCTTATCACCAAGGCTCAATAAGATGGCTCCATTGACTTTCTCTATCATGGTCGTTTTTCCATTTTTCGTTAGCACAACATCCATGGCTGCGACTTCCTTCAACGCTTCCAAACAACCCAGTTGAACTAGTAGGGATTTCATCTTTAAGCGCCACATACCAAAATCGTTCACTCCGGTGAAATTTTCAGTCTCATACTTCATTGATGACATCTTCTCCATGCTCACTGCACCAATTTATTGTGAAAATGATACCGAAATAACAAAGTATAACATGTTTCTTGATCGGTAAGAAACCCATAAGGGTATGAAAGAGGGAAGCAAGAAGAACACAATGAAATTGGTTATAAATTGTTATTCTTTACTTTCTCTATGAAACAAGATTACAAGTGTTCCAAAATAACAAATAACCTCTCTCACCCTAATTAGGATTCACATTGTGCAATGATAAGAGATTAATATGCTATTTATAAGAAAACTAACACACTAAATTAATGGGCTTTTACACACATGTTTATTACACAAGCTAACTTAGGGAACAAGCTAACTTAAACTATTGAGCTTAATAAACAGACTCAATTCGACATGCTAACAATCCTAGCATTTCAACTAGTGCATACTTGAGCATACTTCGACTACAACATTGCAGAACTTTGACTACAACATGTGAACAGACTTCAACTACAACATGTGAACAGACTTCGACGACATACTAAAATCTTGTCGAATTGTCAAACCAAGTAGCTATCCTTCGACCATACTAAAATTCGATCCAATATCTCACACCTACAATAAATCATCTACCATGCCTTAGAAACTAAAGAACAAATGAGACAACTGTATGATCAGGATTATAGATTTAAATTTTTTTGGCAATTCATATTTATAAGAAAATAAATCATTATCCAGGTAAGTTATAGCTAATTTAAATCTATTAATTACTAATTTTACGTAATGGTCGGGTATGTACACTAATGTAATTTTTGATTTCAATCAAAACAAATTTGAAATTTGAAATTTGTTAATTAAATAAATTTGAGATTTTGACTTAACGTGCCTCTCATTTTTATACCTATTATTTTATTTTATATATTTGGGTTTAAAGCTCATTCACTTACAAAAAAAATATTTTTATATTTTTGAAGTTGTCATTTGTCAACAATAATTTTTAATATGTACTTTTTTTTTTTTGAGAAAAAAATACACTTACAATATAAAATATAGACGGTTAACCAATCAATAATGTGTATTCAATCAAATCACATTTTTAATTAAAAAAATTAATATAATATAATAAATTACTATAACTCTATTGAATGATGGTGTAAATTAGCAATATCTTTAAACTCCTTTTTTTTTATCATTCACAATAACTAATTTAATTTACATTAAAAATATAGTTATTAATTAAATTAATTATAATTTTAAACACGAATTAAATTAAGTATCTTTTCAACAAATTAATTATATTTTTATACGTGATTGTCATAAAAATATGATTCCAAAAAGATAAAAAAATCTGAAAGATATGAAATAATTAACGAATTCTACTAAAATAGAAACAAATTAACGAGAAAAAAAAAAATTCAGGTTGTTGAGCTTCATTGATCAACGTCACGTAGAAGAATAACAGATTCAATTCAAAGAGAAATCCTCAACGAACCTAACCGTAATCATTTCACATTAATAAGGTAAAAACCAGATGATCGCAACATCAAAAGTGCAATAGTTCCATTAAAACGTGAAAATTATGAAAATATTGTACAAAAGCGTCGACAATGCCTCATTTCGTGAGCGAAAAATCATGAACGTTATAGAAGATGATACTTATTATAACAATATTTTCGACGACGGCGGCAGCCAATACAGCCTCACCGGTTTTGCCCTTCCTCCTCTCGGCGGACTTGGCCCCCTAAAACCTAAACTCCGCCGCTTCATTATCTCCCCTAATAACTATTATTACAGGCATGTATCTATATATAATGTATATCTTTTACATTCTTTTCTCTTTTTTTATGTTATTGATTATCAGTTAGTTTTTTTTTTTTTTTTGTGGTTTTGGAATGTAGACGGTGGCAATCGTTTTTGGCGGCGTTGGTTTTTTACTCTGCATGGGTTTCACCGTTCGAATTAGGGTTCTTGAGTGAACCTTCGATGTTTCTTTCTATAGCTGATAATGTTGTGAATGGTTTATTTTTCGTTGATATTGGATTAACCTTCTTTGTTGCTTACCATGACAAGTCTACCTATTTGTTTGAGGATAGATTCGGGCGAATTGCGTGTAGATATCTCAGATCATGGTTCCTATTGGATGTAGTTTCTTCCATTCCTTATGAGGCTGTTCGCGAAATCATTCATCAAAATGTCAAAACTTATGGCTACTTCAGTTTGCTTCGCCTCTGGCGTCTCCGTAGAGTCGGTTCCATGTTTGCAAGGTCAGTTGGATTAGGGTTTTCCTGCTATATGTATTGTTTTATTAGTCTTTGTTGATTAAGGATTGCTTCGGTCAAAACTTGAATACTTGATTTGACCTAAATTGAAGCGCGCATTATTAATCCGCGTATAAACACTTTTGATTTACAATTTTTATGTTTTCAATGTTCAGATTAGAGAAAGACAGACATTATAACTACTTCTGGCTGCGGTGTGCAAAGCTTGCATGTGTGAGTATTTAGCGTTATATAACACTTGCTAGTTGGATGATTTTTATAACAAGCATTATCTAATGGTTAATTTTTAGGTTACTTTATTTGTAACACATTTTGCTGCCTGCTTTTACTTCTTGATTGCGGATACTTATGTTAAAGACCGAAGCACAACATGGCTTGCGCTTATTCCTGATGTGGATAACCAGAGTACCATGGCTCTATACATAATATCATTATACTGGTCCATATTCACACTTTCATCGGTTGGTTATGGTGATGTGCATCCTGTAAATAAATGGGAGATGTTATATTGCTTTGTGTATTGCCTCGTTAATGTTGGATTTGGCTCATACCTCATTGGAAACATGACAAATTTAGTTGTTCACTCCACAAGAAGAACTATGAAATATGTGAGTATAATCATTTTTAAGCCAGTGAGAAAATTATGCACTTGATTGTGATGCTAAGTTCTTTTTTGGATTTGTGGCGTATTAGAGGGACACAGTGCAAGCTGCCACAAAATTTGCCCACCGGAATAGAGTACCTGTCCGCTTGGAAGAACAGATGCTTTCTCATTTGCTTATGAAGTACAAAACTGATTTAGAAGGGGTACAGCAACAAGAGATTATTGATTCCCTTCCAAAAGCTATTCGATCTAGTATCTCGTATTGCTTATTCTATAAACTGATGGACGGAGTATACTTGTTTGATGGAGTGTCAAAAGACCTAATTTTTCAATTGGTAATGTTTTCTTTTTGCTTATCCCCTGATTTCGTTTAACAAAGCCTGAGATTGTATGAGGTAAAACTCCCATCTGCAATCATCGGACATCCTTTGGCATTTGGTAATCAATAAGTTTCAAAAGAGACCCAAAAGAATAGAAAAGACTTTCTCTACACATGTTTATTTTGTTGTAGGTCTGCTTCTTGTCAGCTCTTGTCTATTAGACGATGAACCGTCGTTTAATGAGCATATATATTGAAATTTGAAGGTCACGGAGATGAAGGCGGAGTATATTCCTCCAAAGCAAGACGTGATTATGGAAAATGAAGCACCAGCAGACTTTTATCTCTTTGTCACCGGTGGTGCAGTAAGAATACTAGTCTTTTGTGAAGATATATTAAAAACACTGTTAATGAATGACTACGAGTTTTTTTAAATAGTTTGAGATTAGCTTATGGATTTCAATTTTTCAGAAGTTGGTCATAGTTCAAAATTTCATGTCTCAAAATTCAACTTGACTTTTGAGTTGGTCATAGTTCAATATGACTTTTGAGCAATGTGGATAAGAGCAAAAGAAAGGAGGGATATGATATATGCAATTTGTATTTCTTAGATGTCTTTTTCCAAAACTGACCCTTCTTTCTTTTCTGACTAACAGGAACTTATCAAACTTGAGAATGGAGTAGAAAATGTAAGGCTAATCACTGAAACATGAAGACTTGTAAAAAATTATGTTTTGGAAAAGAATGAACTTGTTATTCACAGACATGTGATTCCCAAATATATGCAGGAGTATTGGAAAAAAAATGCTGACGGATTCCTAAGATTATGCTATATTGGTTTTGCCAACTATACAAATTGTTTCTATGCAATTATATCAAAATCAAGCTGCTAAATTTTTGGGATATCATACGAAGGTGATCGTCATCCCATTAACCTGTTCCTTTGACTAACAATACAAGTGTGTTATAATTGCAGGTTGTTGGCGAGGTAAATGCAGGAGAGTTAGTTGGCGAAATAGGAGTTCTATGTTACAGGCCGCATCCATATACTGCCCGGGCTAAACGATTGAGCCAAGTTTTGCGCTTAAGTCGTACTGTGTTTCTAAATCTTATTAATTCAAGTGTTGGAGATGGGACAGTAATCATGAACAACTTTCTCAATGTATATAATTTTATTGTGTAATTATGATTTACGTTTTCTTCCAAAAATGATTTCAATACCTTCTCACAGTCCCCTATTCTTACATTTGATGAAGACCTAAGACACTAGATCTTAACTTCATTGCCATTTATTTCAACTTTTCAACTCTTTTTTTTCCCGGTCTATCCTTACCTGTTTTTATACATTAATGACACGAAAATACTGGATGATGTATTTTCTACAAAATAACATCATGAGGGGTATTTGTTGTGCTCATTAGAACATTTTTTCCTAGCACAATGCTGCAAAAGGGTTTACAATGATCTTCTTGGGGGTTTTTACATTTTAGGACTAAAATTAATTATCTTCGTAATTGTTTTCCTTGGGAACTGAAATTGTATCACTGTCATCACCAATTTATAAAAAACATAATTTTTCGGATTAAACAAACTACATATTTACTTGTTGAAGAGTTTTGTGTCTAATGTCTATAACTATATATTATGTTGTGATATGTGTTGTGCTTTGTTGTAGCATTTGCAAGCTTCCACCATTCCCGGGATGGATGTTATTTTCGTAGAAACACAGGCCATGTTGGCACGTGGTAAAACGGATCTGCCTATTGGCACATACTTTGCAGCAATCAGAAATGACAATAAAATGTTAGAGTTGTTGCTGAGGAATGGCTCTGATCTAACTGAAGCAGACAGGAATGGAAGGACAGCGATGGTTTGTAGATTTTCTTTTCTTGAATGAATAAATACATGAACATACATAAGTATACGTATATCTGTTTTCAGTCATTAGACACAATAGTAGACGCTTACAACTTTACTTTCTGATTTTGCAGCATGTGGCAACTTCTAGTGGAAATGAGCATGGTGTAACTTTGCTTCTAAAGTTTGGTGCTGATCCAAATATCAAAGGTACTCTTCAGTCTTTCAATTGACTTAATGCAGTTTGACAATACCTTTTCAAAACAAGTGCTGAGAATATAGAATATGAGATTGATAGGTTGGATGCATTTAGCAACAACTTTATCAATACAATAAAGTGTATCCAGTTGTGTTAGTTCTGGTGATAACATCTTTAGATGCTTTTATTTATTCAGATTTGGATGGAAATATCCCACTATGGGAAGCGATGATTGGTGGACATAAATCTGTCGAGAAAATTCTCATAAAATATGGTGCAAGCTTATTTTGTGCCGAAGCAGGGTATTTAGCATACTCTGCAGCTGAGAGAAATAGCATTGAATTGCTTAAGGAACTCATAGAACTTGGCGTGGATGTGTCAAAACCCAACAAGCATGGAGGAAGCACTGCCCTACACGCAGCAGTAAGTGAAGGCAATACCGAGATGGTGAGGCTACTTTTAGACCAAGGAGCTGACGTTGACAAAAAAGATGGCGTTGGCTGGACTCCACGGGGTTTGGCAGATCATCAAGGCCACGAAGAAATTATATTGATATTCCAAAATATTAAAGAGAAAAAAGAAGAAGTATCTGATGTTCCAATACCAGAAAATGGTACGCCTAATGTGCCTTACAGGGGAAAGTTTCAAAGTCAACCTGTTATGCCTGCTGTTCTTGGATCCAAAAAAAGCAGCTTGCTACCTCGACCTACTCCTGTTCTTGGATCCCAAGAAAGCTTGCTATTGTCATCTACTCATGACGAGTTGCCATGGCTAGATAGTCATCGAAGGCAAAGGGCGAACACCTTTCGTAATTCAATTTTCGGGATGATCGCTGCTGCCAATCGTAGTAAGTAGTATATCACATTCATTATTCATCTTGGGTTGAGGTAGTTACTTCAAAAAAAAAAGAAGAATAAAAACATGTTTGAAAATGCAAGTTCTTTATTCAATTTTCTTTCCTATGCAGGTAAGAAAGGTTTTAAGGTATCTGAAAGCATCATCGCTAATACCGAGAACGTGCATGGATTAGTAGCTAGAGTGACACTTAGTTGTCCTGAAATAGGTGAACATGGTGGAAAGCTTTCTTTTCTGCCCAAGTCCCTTAAAGAACTGCTAGACATTGGTGCCAAAAAGTTTAACATCTCACCCACCAAAATTTTGAATAAAGAAGGAGCTTTAATTGACGATATAGATCTTATAAAAGATGGTGATCACCTTATTATTGCTAGTGACTGAAGAGGGAAAGGGAAACAATAACTGGTTCTCAAACTTCTCTTGGCCATGGGGTGTCTTACATTCTCGTCCCTTAACCCCTTTTCCACGTTTTTAGTTTCCTATTACTTAGAGACATACTTGTAAAATCACAGGTAAGATTAGTCTATAGAGGAAAAATAAAAACACAATGAAACCATAATTCCTTGCATAAAGCAAAATGTAAAACAATTTTTTTTTACTATAACAATAAAAAAAAGATCTCTTGGAAGAATAATTTCCGATTACACTTTACAATTAAAGAAAGTTTGTTCATTTTTCAAAGTTTGTGGAGTATGCCTAAAATTTTTTTAAAAAAAACTAATTTTTTTTGTCCAAATTCCATTGTACCTCAAATAGAGGGCGTCTAGGAGGAAACACAAGGCATTTGGAAAAAGCTTTTAGAAAGATTTTTGGTCTTGCGTTTTCTATGTGGAGAGTTTGAGGTTAACTTCATGGTGATCGGATGAAGACGCCACATTAATGTGAGACTTTTCGTTTCGGAACTTTTATAATATTTTAGATTTTTTCTTGTTAATTTTAAGGTAGATGAAGTTTTCTAGAGTGTATTTAAGGGAATCAAAATGAACACGGTAATGATGTATTCTCATTAATTTCGAGCTTGATACAGAAGTTGTATACATACATATAGAGTAACTTCTATTGCAAGCTATCGTGTTCAATTTCTATGTGATTATTCCTTAAGCAACAAGTAACCATATAACAACTTCTATAACTAACTTAAAATAAAACTAAAGTTAGTTAGTGACTTGCAACTAACTCATCTCATAATCTTCACTTCTATTTTGATCATTGCATTTTAATTCTTTCTTATTTGCATGATATAACATCCCCACAAGTTGGAAGTTGGTATATATCTATCATCTTTAATTTGGATAAGAGCTCATTGAATGGTTGAGGATGTAAAATTTTGGTGAAGAAATCAACTAACTATTTTTTCGATTTCACATGAAGAAGTATGATAATCCCTTTGCTTTGCTTTTCTCTCACAATGTGACAATCTATTTCTAAGTTCTTTGTCTTTTCATGAAAAATGGGTTGGTTGCAATATGTAAAACACTTTAATTATCACAAAAATGACAAGTGTCCTTGTGCATTTCATATTCGAATCATTCATGAGATACAAGAGCCACTACAATTCACAATAGTTGTTGCAAGGGATTTGTACTCATCCTCTGAGGAGGACCTTGAAACTGTCAATTGTTTTTTAGTTCTCCATGAAATGATTGACTTACCAAGGAAGAAACATTGACCTGGTATTGAAATTCGAGTGTATAAACATCATGTCCAACCTGTATCTGAATATCCATTAAGATGCATAATTGAATCTCTAGAAAATAGTATGCCTCGACCTGGACATGTTTTGAGATATTTGAGGACTTTACCTGCTTCATTGAAATGAGTTGTGGTAGGAAATAGCTCAGTCGTTGAGTGAAAATATAATATTAAGTCTTGTTTCATTTACGTATAGTAATCTTTCTGCGTGTCTTCTGTAAGTAGGGTATATGAGTACGAAGCACTTGAATCTTGATGAAGCTTGAACGTAGGGTCAGGTGGAGTGGAAACTTGCCTGGATTCAATGAAACCTGAATCGTCCAATACGTCAAGACAATAATTTCTTTGGCATGATAATATTTCATCCTTTGAATGAGCCACCTTTATGCCTCTAATGATTTGAGTCTCAAATGAATGGAAATTAGGTAATGTTTTTTATGAATTTGTTGAGATAATTTCTTGTAACATATTTTTAATCTCTTGATTAATATTCTCGATTGGTAGTGGATGGGAGAGCTGTTATCTTTTCCACAATAGATCATTTTAGATCAAACTAGTTAACACAATTTCTATGTGTTGGTTCTCATATTGTATCTTGTTCTATTTTTGTGGTATGTTTTCACATTAGTTGATAGATTATTATTGTTTGAGGCTATTTTGTGTGATTGCTTTTGTTTTTTATTCCACACATTATATTTTTGTGTATTTGAATCCCTTATTTCACAATAAGTGACGTCCACTATAGAATAATTGATCTGAGTTTACAAGTGAGTATCATGAATTATAAATGTAATTTTGATTATTAATTTAGAAAGTATAATAAATATTTGTCAAGTAATAAACTAAAAGTATAGACTCACATTTTGAAAAGTTTCAAAAAATTTAAGGAATGATATTCTATTGTAGGAAATCAAATGGGAACTACACTGTAAGTTTTAAGAACAAAAAATGGGGTGAAGTTTGTTTTAGAGAAGTTTGATAAATTTTTGCAATAAACAAGATAGAAAAAGGCATAAAATCGTAGATGACACATCCACAATGAAATGACATAGTTGCACACATAAATAAGACCACTTTAGAGAGGGTAAGAGGCATGTTGTTGGGATATGAGTTTTAGATATGAAGACTTGCATTTGGAAGGTGTACTTGATAAAAAAAGTACCCCTAGTTGTGTAAGGCTATTTGAGAGGTTTAGGATTTCTTAGTATGATGATAGGTCGCCCATGTACGATTGGGGGGGGGGGGGGGGAGCTTCTAAGTGTATTTCAGAGGCAATTTTGTGATCCCTTTCTCCTTTCGAAAGTGGAGTATATATAGGAGACCCCATGGGCCTGGATCTAAGGCTCGAATGAGCCGTTTCTCCTTCTTCAAGTCAAGGATGAGTGAGTGGGAGACCCAGTCCTCCCTACAATCTTAGGATATGCAGTAATCTCCATTCCTTTACATATTCCACATGTGCCACATATCTCATCGACTATATTAATGGGAGAACATGGCTTGATTTAGGCGACTAATCCCATGCCCAATGTGGCAACTAGCTTTGGGCGCCTAGAATAAACATTCGATTTGGGCGGCTCGTAGCACGTTGTGGGCACTTGCCTAATATTACTTTGGCATGTGTCCTTTAAACCTATTTCTCCCAGGGCTTGGTAAGATTATACCAGTCCCACGGTCCTTCCAACACGAGCTCTTGGAAAGGGTGAAGTGATTAATGAGTATGGCTCCGACCTCTATGGGGCCATATAGAACTTTTCAACAAGGAACTAAGGATGCTTTACCCAAATGATATTGGGGAGATTCCATCAAGTAAAGCTTGGGAAAATTTCCTTAAGTAAAGATTGGGGTGAGTTCCTCACGCGAGACTTTTAAGTTGAGTCCCTTAGATGAGACTTTACACCACTTCTTTATTTGCCCCGTTAAAGGGGTTATGTAATAGTGTACTTTAGGATCTTTATTAATGAGAACATTAAGATCTTATGGCAATTCATCTTATTTCACATATGTTTCTCTCTTTGCATATTTAATCAGTTTCGAGGCGTATTTCCTTGAATTGCCTTGATCGAGTAGATTTCCTTCTTGGGGCGATTCCATCAAATTTTGCATGGGCGAGTAAAGCCTGCTCCAGCAAGAAAGCCAATAGTGAGTTTCTCAATAAAGCATGGTGATCTTTTAGTAAAGGTCCAATATTCATATTCTCCCTAAAGACAACAATGATCCTTAATTGAATTTCTAACATTTAAAGCCTCATAGGGAGGCAAGGATTACTTCATAGAAGTTTCAACATTTAATAGCTTCAAAGAGAGGCAATGATACTTCATTGAAGTTCCAACATTTAATAGTCTCACAGAGCGGCAAGGATACTTCATTGAACTTCTGATATTTAATAGCCTTATAGAGAGAAAAGGATACTTCCTTGAATTTCCAACATTCAATATAATCAACTTCGTCATTTAGTCAGTTTTTAAGATAAGGCGCATAATAAAAACCATGTAAGGAAAATAATACCACCTTAGTCCTGATGTGTAAAGAAGGGTAAAACGTTAAGATGATTCACACATTAGGCCTGAATACCTTGCCTTATTAAACAAGAAAAAGGTAAATGATTAACTATTATAATAGCTCAGGTTGATTGAGTTTCAAGTCCTTCGGATGAGTCTTCCATCCAGGTCTTCAAGTTTAAAGGTGGCATGAGGCAGTTTCTAGCATACACAATTTGGAAATTCCCAATTAGACTATAGTTTACTTAAGTGGGTTGGCACGACCACGTACCTAAGCCTGAGGTCACTTTCTTGCATTTTCCTCAAGACCACTTTAGACTTGTATATTTTGGAGGCCTTATGCATGGCAACATATTATATGATGTGGGCGTTGTTGCATGTCTCGTCAATCAGATAAGCTGCACACCCGAGTTCTACCTCTTTCCCTCTTTGTTGAATTAAGCACGCCTCCATATGGGTGTATAAATTTCAAACGGTAACATGGCATCGAAACTATATGCCACTGTAAAGGGAGATTCTTTGATGTTTGAATAGGGAATGATGTGATATGACCACATACCCAGTGACGGAGCGACGTTGGGACATGGGGTGGCCATGGCTCTCTCAATTTTAATTGTTAAGTTTTGTTTATATATAACCATTGCACTAATTATACAATTAATGAATGTTGGTCGAATGGAAAGTAACTTATTTTGCAGCATGTGGGTGTGTTTGATTCCTCACTATACCATTTTTTTATTTTCCTTGGCAAAAAATTTAAATTTTTTCAAGTAATGCTTAATGTTGCAATAAAATTTAGTATATGTAATTGTGGCCCCCTGAAATATTTAGGTTTAGATATTCCACTGTGTGGTACGATGGGAGAACTGACTTAAGGGTTTTGCGTTTGATCGCAAATGTTGCGGTTAGTAAGAGTCGCCACCGACTTTTCTTTTATCCAAAAGTGTTTTGGACTGGGCCGGGATGGCCCAAGAGCAAGGATGAAGGCCCAATTCAAACGACTTTACAAGGGGTCGCACCGACCAAGAAGCTACAGCCGTGTCCGCGACATCCTCGACTTCATGCAGTCCAGCTCGACTCCAGCTCGAGCACCCCTCGTAGGGTAGACTATGGCCATTACACCACCACCTGGATTCCGAAAAGACCGCGTCCTCGTCCGTCCGCACTTCTCACAGACCACCCAGGAAGGAG